CTCTAGAAAAGTTATTTTGAAATAACGGCTGTTATTTCGAAATAACTTTGCTGTGTAGACATACCCTCTGAGATCTTGGCACCAACACAGCTACAACAGCACTGCAAATTAAAAAGGATAGACATTAGGGATGTAATAGTTTAGTCGATTAACCAATAAGTAAAAGTTAATTGGTTAATGCTATAGACTACGCACGTTTTCCCCCGCAGCCCCCAGTAAATTTTATAGGACGTTGGCCAGCAGCCCAACTCATTCCTGGCTTGTTACGGGTTTGGGACCTACTTCCGCTGTGGCTCTGCATTTAAAATGTATTAGGAGCCAGGTGGGCAGGTAGCCCAGCTCAGTTCTGGTTTGCACAGGATCTGGGAGCTCAGACTCCCTCTCCCCTGGACAGGGGCTGCTGCCACCTCAGGCTGCTGCCTCTATATCAGAGGCAGCAGCATGGGATGACAGGCAGCTCCTCTGCAGGGGGAGCTGGTTTTTAAACTGGCTATATCAGAGGCACCAGCATGGGGTAACAGGAAGCTCCTCTGCGCGGGGAGCTGGTTTTTAAACTGGTGCCTCTCATGGACCAGCTCCTACCTTACACCCCACGCTGCTGCTTCTGATACAGAGGCAGAAGTGCGGTGTGGCAGAGGGCTTCTCAGGAGTGGGGCTGGAGCACACTGACTGCTGGCCGCACCCCCGGGGACTATAGAATAGTCGAGTAACCGATAAGAATTCGTGAGGTTAATTGACTATTCAATTAACTGATATTTGGACATATTATTGACTTAAATGGGCTTTGGCTAGGGCCCATAAGGACATATTATTGAGTTAAATGGGCTTTGGCTAGGGCCCATAATTAGCTAGATTTGTTAAATTTAGTACTCTGTTGTGCATAGCAGGAGTTTGTGCCAAATGAGTTTTATATTGTCAAATTCTCTTTCTACATTAGGGAGAACTACATAAGCACTGTGCTCCTCCAAATGAAATTGAACTCAACTCCTACAAAGAATATGCCATCCACAGTCAGCTTGATAAGAAGTTATTTAATGAGTCTCAGTGTGGTTGGGAGCCATTTGGTGAGTTGACCTGCATGCTAATTTTGTAATAAGGGTATTTATACAAGTGTCGTAATTTGTTATTTATGACAGGGATTCTTCCCATAGGAAAATGGATATGAGGTGCATGTTTTGTTTCTAATTAAACCTGGCTAATATGTTGTGAGTGTCACAAATGAAATGAAGCTTTAAAAGGCAAGTCTCTTAATAACTTTTCTAAATAAATTATGAGTACAACTGCTGAAGTCTAAACTATTAGAGCTGGTCTTAAACTTTTTGAAGGAACAAATTTCAGTCAGAAAATGCAAATTTGTCAAATATAAATGTTTCATGGGATGTTGTTAATTCCATAGATTTTTGTCACAGAGATATGTCAAAACTGATTGTTTAGGCTCTTTCGTTTTGTTTCATTTTGACTTCTATCTTATAATCATATAATATATAATAAAATACTTTCAATGGGTATGATACCACTGAAACAAAACAATTCAATGCTTCCAGAATATTCATTCTGTGGAAAAATGTTTCCAACATGGAACAAAAACAAATTTTGAAATGTCAGACTTTCCCATGGAATTTCTAACCAGCTCTATAAACTATTCAGTGGCACGGAGCACATTCTAGAAATGCAGGCACCTTCAAAAAGAAAATACAGGCAGTCCCCGGGTTACGTACAAGATAGGGACTGTAGGTTTGTTCTTAAGTTGACTCTGTATGTAAGTCGGAACTGGCGTCCAGATTCAGCCGCTGCTGAAACTGACCGCCAGTTCTGACTTACATACAGAATCAACTT